TGCAAAATTTTAATTATCTAAGGGTTTTCAGTAATTTTATATATTCATTTTAGAGTCTATAGGTTAGAAATTCTCATAGTGTTTTTTATATAAATAATGAATTTTAGGGGGTTTTTTGTAATTTTTAAAGTTATAGGCCTTTTATACATATTGTATATTTTTATAGACTATTTATATTTCATATACTTTCAATTTACTAATGAGTTTGAAATTCTCAGGCTTTGTAAAATTTGAATTTTGAGTGTATGATTGTAATTTTTAAACTTTAAGGGTGTTTTCTATAAATTATGTAGGTGATATATAATTTTTATATTTTTAATGTACTATTAGGTTGGAAATTATTAGGATTTTTATAAATTTAACAATTTTAAGGATTTTATTTTGCAATTTATAAAAAGTTTGGAGTGTTTATTATAAATTCTATAAATTTTTGGGGGTTATTTGTGTTATTTGTAGGTTTTTAGTGTATTTATAGGTTTAAAATTTTAAAGGTGTTTTTTATAAATTTTAAATTTTTAGGGGTGTTTTTATAATTTTTAAAACTTACAAGATACTTTCTCCAAAGTCAAAAAACATTCATATTCTGGCTAGCATATGTTTTTCAGATTTCTCACTAAACTGAAATAAGTAAAATTTATAATTGTCAATGTGTTTTAATAAAATTTTAAATTTGTAGGGTTGTTTTTTGTAATTTAAAAAACTTATATCAAACGTATATCTTTTATCCAATAACATGTTAAATTTCATTATGAATAGAATCAATTATTTAATTACCAATTCAAAGAAGATGGGATAATTAGAATAGATTAGGATAACAATGTAATATTTAAAATAATTTAAGGGTAATATTGACCATAGAAAGATTTTTCCAAACTCATACTTTTAAAGGGAGTATGATAATTAATCATACTCCCTTTAAAAACATGAGTTCAGAAAAATCTTTCTATGGTCAATATTACCCTTCATAATTTTGAATATTACATTTAAATTTTAATCTATTCTAAATCTAGAAAATCAAGTAGCTAGTGCCCTGTAGCTTTGAAGCAGGGCTTAGCTAGGGGCCTCTTTTCCTTCTGCCCAGCTCCCCGAAAACAACGTTCGACTAGCATGTGTTAAGCATATAGTTAGCGTTCCTTCTGAGCCAGGATCAAACTCAGATCCTGCATTAGCCCATGACAGGAGGTGAATCTTCCTTCTACTATCTACCTCACCCCATAAGAATATGCGCACGCACTTCTCAATCTGATCAAGTACCGCCATCGGCACTGCATAGTGCGACATGAGGTACACGGGTAGTGAAAGAAGGATCCCACAGGGACTATCTATAACTAACAATTAAAAAAATTAACAAACTACGTGAAATATTATTTTAAATTTTTTATTTAAATATTCTATCTAAATACTAATTATATCCTTTATTAACCCTACATGCACTACCTATAGCTCAACAATTTAAAAAAATAAGATTAATATTTAATTCAAAAATTACACAAAATATCTTTAAAAGTTCAAAATTACCCAAAACACCATTACTTTTTTAAAACTTAAAATAGCAAACATGAAATCTAAAAATTAAAATCAGCCCCCGAGAAATTTAAAAATTACAATTACACCCACAATATTTCTAAAATTATAGAAAAAACCTCAAAAGTTTAAATTAGAAAAAAACATCCTAAATTCAGTGACTTTAAAACTTGTAAACAACATAGATATATTTCACGGATTACCATTAGACACTTAAAAACTTAAAATTTGTAATAAATAACCTCAAAGTTACATAAACTACGAAAGCTCCCTCAAAATTTAAATTTCACAAAAATCCTGAAATTTCAAAACTTATAACCGGTAGATTTCAAATCTAAAAATTATCAGCAGACCGCTAAAAATTTGAATTTATCAAAAAATAACTCAAAGTTTTAGAAATTGTAAAAAAACACGCTCAAATTTTCAGAGTTGAAAGAAACATCTTAACATTTGAAAACTTACCACCAACTCATAAAGCATAAAAATTACAAGCAACCAACATAAAATTAAAAATTAAAAAAATAACATTAAAACTAAAAAAGTTATAAAACACACCATCAAAAGTTTAAAATCATAGAAGGCTAAAATTTAGCAAATAAAAGAGTAAATGTTTGATATCATTCCATTAAGATATATAAATTTAAGTTTCAATTTAAAGTTTATCATCCCTTTTCAACATCTAAAAGTAGTCTAAGTTGATGTTGGTAAAAAATAACAATTATGATATATTAAAACTATGACAGATTAAAAATTAACGTTACTGTATAAATTTAAGGAACTACATATAATTTTAGTAATAACATTAATTAATAGAAGAATAAATTGCATAAAACTAACAAAAGACTATAATATAATAAGTTAGCATTAATTGATTATAATGTATAAACATTCATCTCTCACGTTAATAATATTTAAAGAGCAAAAAAATATAAGGAATTTTGCTTGAAAAAACTATCAGAACGTTCAGAGATATCCTTTAAAAAATCAAGCTGTTTTTATTTCAAATAGAGAAGTGAAGTAAATACACCAAAAATATGAAAATATTCATGAAACACTTGAGCATACAATGACAAAAGGTACATCTAGCAAAGAGCACCGATGAGTTCCCCCTTGAAGAACATAGTGAATAATTTTGTCCCAATTAAAAAAGCATTCATCGTGAAAGATACAAGAAAAATTAGTTTGTATTTATAAAATTTTATACTTTATTCTTGAAATACTAAATAAATCATAAACTTAATATAAAATTACATATAACTAATCTTACAATAGAAACTAAAGTAAAGTTATTGATCAACTATGTTGCGATATATAATAAGCCATATAAGATTAGAGAAATCATTATAATGGACAAAAGGTATATACATGATAATTAATTATAATAACATAAGTAAAAAAACTAAAATTGATATTTTTCTTTTTCCTATATGTGGTACTACTCTGGAAGTAAATTTATTTGGGGATATGACTACCGGTAAATGATTAGTTTTTAAAGACACGATCAAAGATAAACACAAAATAGCACCGTTAGATTTAAAGATCTTTAAATACGAAGGTAACATATTTTACTACTAAATTTTTTATTAATGGTCACTACACATAAAATTCACATTATATCTGTCTCAAATTTGTAGGAAAAATATGCAAGTTATCGTAAATTATGTTAACAATATATACCAACACAAAGATACAACTTATTGAAGAAATAAAAAAATGGTAAGTAAACCAAGCAAACATACATATAACACAATAAATTAAAAAATATTACATTTTAAAGCTAATACGCATGGCTTATTCAGAACAAGCTGCTAATATAGAAACATATCCATCAAGGCTCTTTACAAATACAATACAAATTTAAACTATTGATATATGCAATAATCACAAATTTAAAAGAGGTATGATCTTATAAGACTACTCGAAAATTTACACAATTAAACTTAAAAATACTCTATCAATTTACGGACACACTATTGGGCCTATAATGTAAAGATAACTACTATTTACAACAAAGTTAAGCCGTGGTTCTAGCTTGCAAAGGCTACAACAAGAAGATTGGATCGAGGTGTTAATAAGAATGTCCAAATGATAAATATCACAAAATTACTAATAAAGTAGTACCAAGGTTGAGTAATATCCCTTCTTCATGAAATAAACATACCAAGATTAAATATTAACATATAATCTAAGCTAATTTAATAATGAAAAATACAGTTATTTAGTTCAGATCATTATGAAAAATAACACAGATAGAGTAAAAGTAAAATTATTTAACACGACAGAAACTCTTATTGGATGCACACCAAAAGAATTTATTACAGAGAAAAAAGAGGTAACTCCTAACATTTTTTTAAAAATAAATTAGAAACACAAAATTTTCATATATATAAAATTAACATTTAGTTTCATTGAAACACAAAAATAATCAAAGTCTGTATTTCTAGAATTTTTGTTGATCATCAAAAATACATTTAACTTCTTTGTGAAGTAAGACGAGAAGATAAAACATGAACGAGCTCAAGGAAAAATAATTATACAAGAAATCCAGCTCCAGCCTAATGTCACAATCAATATTGATGATGAAGACACAACTCTAGAGTTGCTCAGGAAAAAAGATAAAGGTGGAGAATGACTGATCTTAACTCAATAAAAAAATAAAACAAAACGAATAAAAGATTTATTTTTCGAATATTTTATAGAATAACTTAATTTTTTGAGTAAAACCAAGAATCTTTAGAAAGGATTTTCATGAACTCTTTTAAATATTTTTATATGGTTATGTGGATGTTTTTATCATATAAAATATATTAGAGTTAGCATTAATCTTTAGTCAGTGATTTTTTCTGAAGTCTATCAATTAATTAGCAACAAACTTTATATTCTCTTTAATTTTATTTTAGCCCACTTTTAATTAATCATCTTGGCTTTTCAGCTTTTATTATTAATCTTTCTTTTATAACACTACTTTTTTAAAGTGTTTCCTGTCAATTTAATTATCAACATAAAAATTTACATTCGGTCTAAATCACGTGAAAATACAAATTGGCTTTAGATAACATATGTTTCCTGTCAATTTAATTATCACCATAAAAATTTAAATTTGCTATATCACATTCTAACAAACATCAAAGAAAATAAATAATCACAATGTTAAAATTTAAAGGCATAAGCGAGCAAAAACGATCAAAATAGAATTGAGGAACAAATTTTAGTAAGGAAATAAATTAAAAATATTTAATTATGATATTCAACTATTTAAGCACGTGCATTACACGTGCATAAAACCTGATAATTTCTAATATACGCCAGTGAATCAGCATTCGGCATTATTCATCCCTAATGCCAATGAGGAAAAAAAACAATTTTCTGTTTTTGTTGTTAGTTTCTCAACACGAGAACAGCGGACTCGTATTCAATGTGCTTTTATTTTTTACAAGAGAATGGTACGAAGAAAATGATAAAGCTCATACAAAAGATTGCCGCAGAAGAAATCAGTAAATATAATATTTGCTCGGTTACTAACAAGGTAACAAAATTCTAGAAATTGATGCTCTCTTTTCTTCTATCATTTACAAAGATACAATTGACGCCAAAGCTCAAGTCAGTTACAGACTCCTCAACAAAGCCCAGTAATAACTAATATTAATTTGGATAACTCTAAGTTAACAAGATAAATTTATCCAACCTGTCCTTGTTCTCAAATTCAGAAGGCGAAGAACTTGCAAGAATTTTAGCAGACATCAAACCGCGGTCCAACTCAGGCCTCCACTTACAAAACATGGGAGCAACTGAACTTTACTGAACCAAGCACTGATTTTAGTAGTTGAGACATCAGATAACAAAACCTCAACACCACATGAACAAGATTATTTCCCTAGCCAAAAAAAAAAGTGTTAAAAATCACCTAATCAGTTCAGAAAAGTAGTACAAGATGCCATCTAACTCTATAACTCAGCAGATATTGAAAGCATATTGCCTACAACTAAAATAGTGTTTAAAATGCCTGTTTAGGTAATGGAACTAAGAATCTAAAATGCATGCCTGTAGCAAATACAAAAAACCAGCCTACAAATAATCCATGGTAATAAATATCAGACTACTAACTTGAGCATAGAGGACTAGTACCCAAAAGACCAACAAATTCTGAATGATCGTCACAGATGTATCGTGTTTTTCTCCTACAACAGCAGTAGCGCAAAAAATCTACCAAGTAAGGCTCAAATCAATGTTATACGTATGTTTATTTCAAACTACAAGGTTTACCAAATAGGCTACACCCAAATCTGCCCTATTTGCAGACTTACCCCCTAAATTTGCATATTGGCTGATTGACCCACTACATTCTTCGCTATTGGTTTAAAATACCCTCAACTTTCTGCAAAGTCATATTCTGGGTGTATAATCATATTCTTTTTATTAAACTGATTAACATTTTTAAATTATAATTAACCTATACCTAATTTACTTAATCAATCCATTTGATTAGTTGCGAGGCTTAGGTCGAGGTTTTGGATCTTTGGGAGAGAGAATGAGATCAATGAGGGAGGGGGCGGTGGCACCCCAGGCCTCGCCTCCACTTCCTCTCTTCTTTTGCTATGAGAGAGGGGAGGGGGTGTGGGTGCAGAGCCAATACCAGCGACAAGGACAAGAGGGGGCCAGCTTAAATTTTGGATCTGGTTGATGGGAGGTTGGTGATCGGTGGGGAAGGGGCAATGGCATCCAAGGTTGCTGATAGCGGATCGCGGCGCGTCGCGGCGAGGTACCGCTAAGGCTATATCGGGCTATTGCGACGAAATCGCGGCAAATAGCGCACAGTCAAATAGCGATCAAATTTAAATATATTTAAATATCCTAAATAATAAGAAAATTCATAAAAAAATCTAAAAATTCAATTAGTTGTAAATTTCTTGTATTATCAATAAATAACAATTAATAAGCTTGTTGTATGAATGAAACTATGAAGAAATTCAAGAAATATAGCATCATAATATGTGTGATAGCGGGTTTAGCAGGTTTAGCCGCTTTTAACAACAAAAATCCGCTTTTAACCGCGAAAATCCGCTTTTAACAGCGAAAACCCGCTTTTAACCCGCTAAAATCCGCTTTTACGCGCTATTCGAATGAATAGCGGATTTTCCCGCTTAAGCCAGACGCGAAACCCCTACGCGTAGCGCTGAAGGGCCGCGACCGCTATTCGCGCCGCTATAGCACCGCTATTGGCCGCTATTTACAACACTGGTGGCATCCACCTTTTTTTCATCATAAAAGGAGGAACTCTATCCCAAACCTCCAGCAAAACTTAACGATATTAAAATGAGGGGGGTATAAATTCCAATGTGAAAGATTTGGAGGGGTAAATTAGCAAGCATGCAATTTTTGAGGGTAAATCAGCAATACTAAGCTTCGGGTGTAAATGAAATAAATAATAATAATAAAAATAAAAACTACCAAGATTTATCCTTGATTCAAATCATTTGATTCACAGGGAAATAATGAAAAAACAAGATCTAGTTTTCCATATGATCCGAAATGATTTGCACTCTTTTCAGAATCAAGAATAATAAGGACTTCTTGCCCTTACCAAGTTTTCTTGTTCAATTCATATATTTATAGAAATGTTTATCAAACGTTTACCTTCTACAAATTTTGCCCTTACCAAAGACCTTAAAGAGGTTGCTGGAGTAAGTTTCTGCATGGGGAAAAAGGGGACCCAGAAAGACAGACATTAAAGAAACTACTGTACATCATTAGCACACGTGATTGAACAGTACACCATGCATATTGTTGTTTAACCTTCAGGCTTTACATGGTTAGTTACTAACTTAATAATTAAGTATTTATTTTTTTAATTAAAAGAGTAATATCGCCATTGCTTACCCAAATATGAACTCCTAATGAATTCTCTGCCTTACTTGATATGTTTCATTATGCAAAGCATCTACACTTTTAGATAAATTATCGTGCGCACATAGAATTTATCATACCTGCTAAGAATAAGAAACCTCACCTTTTAGCCATCATCCCCGCATGTATAGCAGAATCTTTTGGGGGATTTTTGATACACAAGCAACCACCACCCTGTGAGAAGTTGTAGAATACAGTCCAAGATGGCATCTGTTACCATGAGCAGAGAGACACTTGAGTACATCAATGATCGGGCTAATTCTGGCATCAGGCTGAAATTAAATTCCAAATGCTCTGTTATAGATGTCACCAGAGCTTGGCAGGTGGAATTTGGGTTCCTCGTTAATGGGAAAATAGTTTCCAACTCCAAATCTCTCACCCCTTAGAACCTCAGGGATCCCAATCCCATTACCAATCTGCATGTCATTCCAACCATTCCACTGGTTATTTAAAAGGCATGAGGGCTGCTGGTGTGATATCTGTGAAAATGGAGATAAACTGGGATTTTGTGCTGAAAATCTAGAAGCTGTATAAGCATCATCATGTGGTACGAATCTATCGCTAATATGATTTGGAATTCTTGGGCCGTGACTAGCAGAAATAGATTGTTGCATCAATAACTGGATTCTAGCATCACTCTCTGAAGTGGTAAATTGTTGGTGATAAGAAGACCTCGAGCCTATGCCTGCATTGTTTATTCCGAGGGGTAGCCTTCCTTTGCCCACAGCAAGAATTGCTGGATCAATAAATTCTACATCAACAGCATTGTTGGTAGAATGAGCTTGAAACTGATCTTGAAGTGGACTGCCAATTAATTGCGACTCTGTAGAACAAAAGTAACGAAGTTAGTAGTAATGCATTAGGAAATAGAGTATAAAACCTGGGTGAGTATGTTTGGGGTATCGTTTGAATGTCCGCGAGGAGGGGAAGTTAAAAAACCGAAGAAAAATAAAAAACCTGAGAATGTATTGATAGTCTGGTCATATCTGTCTTGAGAGGAAAACCCCGGAGGTGGTGCTCTATTAGGAACAGAAAATCCAGGTGGTGCAGATATTTTAAGTTTTGTGACACCTTCAACAGAGATTCAAACAATATTAGAGAGAGCAAGAAAAATCAAAATATAGCTCAATGCATATGGGCTTAACAATGTAACAATGAAAATGGATGGAAAGATTAGGTTTAATAGAAACCTAAATATAATAGGATTTCAAAAAAGCATGGTTACAAGGATGTGTATATTGTATAATGGATGCTAACAAATAAAGTAATTACATTCCGGTACACTGAAGGATGCTGTAATCACACGAGTGACCCTAGAATCTGTCTGCAAGTTAACACTTTATTATTATTATTTATATATTTATTTATTTTTTGCTGATTTGGAGTTCTTTTAGTATATTAATTAGAGTTAGAATTAGGGTTCGAATTAGCATTATGGTTAAGGTTATATCAAAAAATTACTAACTATTTCGGATTAGGGTAGAACAAACTTTAGTGGGTAATCGCCCTAATCCTAACCGCAATCCTACTCCTAAGCCTAACCAAAACCCTAACCTTAACCCTAATGCTAACCGACATTCAACAAGAACTCCAAATCAAGAAGAGAAAAAAAGAGTGTTAACTTACCGACAGATTCTAGGATCACCTGTGTAATTATAATCAGTAATATCAGAGTTAGGAATGTAAACACGCAAACTGTAGAATCAGGTGTGTAATTACACCACACGTCATGGTATTGAAATGTAACTAATCCAAAGAATAAGGACTTACAATGCAGTACAGACAGTAAGGTGCTGAAGAAAATACTAAAGTGCATTTTTAGCTCCTGCAGAACTCAGTTATTTGCTGAAGGATGATGTGAGCCATGTTTTTAAGCCCCTAATATAACATTTAAAATTGATATGAAGCTGCTTACAAGATGAACATACTTATTATAAAACTCGTTTCCACTGTTTTACGGATATACACGGACTAGTTCAGTACACAACATTCAAAAAGCTATTAGCTCTGGGAAAAGAGATATATAACTTCACCTCAAATTCTATAATAATATTTTTAGAGATCTAGACTGCATCTTAAACCCGATAAAATCATCTAAAATTTTAAAAAAATATTGTTCTCACTGTTATCTAATCGATGGCTTTTAATAGCTCGATAACCCACATCGTTCTTAGATTGTTGAGATTGCAATTGTGACTCTAGATATTGATGTCCACAAAAATGGGATCATGCGATATAAGATATTCAGATTTTTCTATGAGTTCTACCAAGGACCCAAAACTCTACAAGTGTAGTAAAGATCTTCCATATAGTGGAGCTATATAGAAAAAATGGGTTGAGAGATGGAGGAGTTTCAACTTTCACTGACTTGTTTCAACTATGAACAGTTTGGCCTTAAAATCGGTGCTGCATACTTCAGTATCAACATTATAAAATGTAAGAAAATGTTGATCCAGGTTTATTATCCAGCACGGGCTTCACAAAAAATCATACGGCAAAATTGAAACATTTGCAAGCACTAACACATGAAAATTGTAAAAATGTAAATGTTAAAATGTGAATAAGATCATAAAGAATATCAAGAAAAGAGCGTCCATATACGAGGAAGCAACAAGAATAACAAGAAAATTGCAGCATGTCAAAACAGGAAAACCAAAGAGTCAAGCAAAAAACCGAAAGGCAAGATAAGTGAATAATGATGAACATGCAGAAGCAGTTGATAAAAATTAAAAATAAAAAAGATCTTAATGCACCAAGAGAACCTTAAGTCTCCTTTTAAATTTGGGAATGTGAAAGAGGAGAACAGTGACTTTCAGTTACTAAACTACATCTCCACTTCTCATAATTGCTTTCGAAATATCCAGACAAAGGGAAAATAATTCAACAGGACTGACCTGCATTAGTATCAGAAGAGATTGTTGAGCTGCTGTTCCCAAGCGAATTGGCAGGCCCGAAGCTACTGACAGGGTAATCATTTCCAAAGCAATTTCCATAAGCTTCTTGCTTTGAGGAGACTTGTTGATGTGCAAACCCCATGTCCCTATAAGAACTGTTCGCAATGTTTGCTTGATTTTCCTGCCTTGCAAATGAAAACCTAGATTGGTTAGCGCTTTGCGACTGTTTTGCAGGCCCCTCCTGTTTATTCATTCTGGCAAGAAGTTTAGCAAAATCATTAGCGGAGGACCATGAGTTATCCCATGGATCGAAGTCCAATGACAAAATTTTCGACACAATGTTTTCCTCTTCTGTATTTACAGTTGTACTTCTCTCCATATTTGATATTTTACCAAAATCACTCGAGCCCAACTCTTTACCAATATAGCTGCCATCAGGGTCATTTGCTCCGTCAATTTTAACAAAATTGCTTGACATCTGATCCTTGTTTCCATTACAAAATAAAGATTCGCTATTCACTCTGCGCCCCATAGTTCTAGAATCTCCAACAGAAAACAATCCATCACCTACACTGCAATTGTGAGAACTGCTGATTAGATGATTTGGGACACTTGGAGAGCAAGATGGTAAATTAGTAAGCTCAGAAAGCCCATGTCTCTGATCAGCACTAGCGGCTAAAGCATCCACAAGTCCATTGCCAGATGATGATAAAGCTTGCTTCTGCTGATCCGTTCTCCAATCAGATAAATTTCCTGTTGCTTGTACATTAGGAAATACGGAAGCAGTACTTAGAGATTCTACCCCATTTTCAGGATGATGCTGATGCTGATGCTGTCTCGAATTTAAGTGTCCAAATTTTCCAACAAAGCGATCATCAGAAACTGAACTCTGCTGCTGACCAGCATTGATATGATCAATGCCAGGACAAGTATCCAAATTTACTGAAGATAACCCCAAACTTAGACTCTCTATATTTCCATTGTCGGCACTAACATGACTAAGCTTATCAGCACAAGACCTACTCAATTCATATGAACAATCTTTAGAATAAGTGGTATTTTCTGAGTATGAACTCGGTAAAGATGCAGTACCGCCTGTGTCATGGTTTTCATGTTGCGGGGAACACTGGCCAGATGAGCAACTAATGGAAACTCCAGAAGTATGAACTACATCCGGGAAAGTCTCTGATGTCACATCTGTAGTGGACGCTCTAAAGACTGCAATACTGGGCTCCTGAGTCCCTGTAGACCTAAATCTGTCATCATTGTCTACAATCTGCCTTTCTTCCGTCATGTTTAATGTCAAATCTGTGTCATCATCCCATGCAGAATGACGAGGTTCATCCAAGATGACTTCTGGTGTGTCGGAAACAAATGCTGCATTAGTGCATCTCACAGTTATTGTGTTCCTAAATCTGCCAGTAGTATGCATTGTATGTTTTCCATCAGGTAACTTCACTGTCGTTATGTCATCATCCCATGCAGAATCAGAACTATGGTCAACATCCAGAGTGGTCCCCGATGATTCATCAACTACTTTTATTAGATGATCCCTCTCACTGCCATGTTTTAAGGGTTCCGAGACACTATATCTACCATTTATGTGGACCGCATGCCTCCCTTCAGGTATTTTTGAAGCAATAACTGAATTGTCATTCCATGCAGAATTTTGTTTTGTGCTCAAAAGCATTGAAGAACTAGATGAATTATTAAGGACTTCTATCTTCTGGCTAAGCGGGTTTTGGGAGCTTGCAATATTTGAAGACGGTGACCGACTATTTGAAGCACGCAATCCCCTGAAAATCACAACTTAGAAGAAGCAAAGACATCGAGAAACAAACAGAATATTGAGAAGCATACCATGAAGCAGCTGCCGGCAGAACAGTAGACCTAGTACCACTTATGTCAATAGGAGCGCTCTTAACCTGGTTTGCGGTACTCTGGTGAGCAGACAAATAACAAAATATTCATGAGACGTAATCAAGCTGTTTATGGTAATAAAGGTAATAGAAAGCCATCGATTTTCAGGTGCTCAAGAATGAGCACTGATCAAAGCAGGCACCCGTTTCCAAGAAGAGCATGGCCTTACATTGAAGGGCTTTGTAGACGGTCTAGTAGAAAATGCCCCATTAGAGTATAAATCATCTATTGGAGGTGGCAAGACATTTCCAGCACGTGGCAACAAAATAGTTGACGGGATTTGTGGAACCCGACTCCTGTAGGAACAAATAACTATTAAAAGAATTCACCCCCATAATAAAATAATGTAGAGAAAAAAAGTTGTGCATTCAACAGCAGATATTTCAAAAAGAAAAGGTGAGAGCGCATCATGCATATGGGAAACAGTGCAAAAGAGAATTAGATATCTGACTATACAAACAAAAGGTGACTTGATGATGGGAATGACAAAGCAGAAATTTTGATTTTGACCAACTAAATACATAATAAAACACACAGGATTGTGAAATGAAGGGACATTGATCTCAACCAAGTGCTAAAAGAACAATACTGACAATTTTTTGGGTGTCTGTACAGATGAAAATACCTGGTGTAAGCTGATATAATCTCATCTTTAGTGAAGCTGTCCTCATGGCTACCTATATCGTGCAAATATAAACAATCCGGATTGCTGCAGGTCTGGAACAGAGGAATCATATCAAAGTGGAATCATGAAATTGAACATTTTGTTATTACTTACAATGAGTAAAAAGACATTCACTCAACAATTTATTTGCCCATACCATATTTCTCAACCATGTGTAGCAATACTTTGTAGTGCCAAAACATGCTCTGCAATGATAAATGTAACATCACTGAATTGATAACAAGGTAACAAATATTGCATATGGAATATAGGCTGCAAACCTACCTCAAAGGTTTACCTTCTAAAACAAAGTTGTGAGTAGCTTGAATACATCGAACAGCCTCCTCCTCTCTAGCATAAGTTATGTACCTATGGAAGCCATAGCAGTTAGATTGCTAATTGCAATAATTTAAGTGTTAAAACTTTGTGCAAGAAACATAAACTAGATGCTTCCTACTAAGCCCCATGATGCACATGTGACCACCTTGACAATTACTTGAGGATAAACAATTACATATTCTACATTTGCAAGTGAAACTGTTTACTAACCCGGGCTGGGCAAATATCATTGCCCTTTCCCTTCTGCTAAGTAGGCATTTTACAAAGTAAGTCTTTCAGTTGGACTCATGGAGATGAAAAAGAATAATGTGTCCTTCAGTCATCCATTGTCAACTTAGTCAACTGTCTATATCCAGATCCCAGATAAACATGAAACCTAACTTGAGGTGAATTACATGTATTTTCCTCGTTTGTTCCCTACCTTAGCCGCTACTCAACACCTAGATAAGCCATCAAACAGTCAAATCAGCAAGCCACTCTTCTATCACGAGTTGGAATACTCTATCCCTAGTTATTGGATCAACATTCTACATGAAAAGAATAAAGAATCAACATTCTGTTTAAAATGTGATCATTCTTCACTTTCTTGACAGTAAGCTTCCTTGGTATTCCCAATAACACGCCTTTTTAAAATAATGTATAGCCAAGAAATTATCATTTTTAACTACAACAAGCATATAGAAATTTTAAAACTGAAGATACCAGCGGCCCTGACTATATACTTTCACAAATCAATCAAAGCAGAAACAAGTATGCACCAAAGTAACCCGAACAAGTGAGAAAAATGTCGGACGTTTATGGAATCAATTCAGATGCTTTATGAGCTTTCCAAAAAAAAAATCGTAAATGGTTTTCTCGAAAACATCTTTCTTCGTACTAGTGGAAGAACAATTGGACACAAAGTGCAATACTCTTTTGTTTTAAATATTCCATAGCCAATCAGTGACAGAAACATTGACAGGCTACTAGATTATACAGATACCTCAGTATCAGTATGAAGGATCAAATCTAATTCTAATCCAAATCTGTTTTTTATTCCTTTCTTTTTTTCCATTTTGAAAATATGGATTTATGGCATCAACTTGCTTAATAAGGAGGTGTTTGGCAAACAGAAAGTTAATTGGAAGTGTGGAAGTCACTTTTTTTTCACAAAAACAGAAGTGCATCCACATCAGCATGCAAGTATTCAAGTGAAATACGATGTTTGTTTGCAATTTGAAAACAACAAAATTTTGAAACTAGAAAAGTTTAGATTATGAGGCACTGTCATTTTATTAATTAACTTAAGAAACTTATACTACAATTTCAACAATTGTTACAAAATAAAATATGTTAGTAAAGAGTGGTCCCCACTTTTCCACTTTAAGAAGCCAGCATGACGCAAAAGAAAACAACAATGAGAAACAACTTCTGTGTCTATCCATAAGATGCTTAAGAACGTAGAAGCAAAATAAATCAAAAGGGTTCAAAGACTTTGATACATCGGATGTTTTCTTTAAGTGAACTCGCATACACAAATACTAAATACTTAGTAGCAGAACATTCTTTACAGAAGTCAAACTTACACGTTAAATGTGTTATTACTAGCCACTTGCTGAGGAGTTGTCCCAGCCTGGCGTGAAACTGAAACCTTTAAAACTTTCCCATACTGGCCAAAGTATTCTTTACGCTCAAGAACCTGTCCGAACCATTTTACCTATATTAGTGAAATATCAAAATGAAGTACCAAATTGACCTTACTTGGTCAAAGAATAGGAAAAACCATAATCAATGATACATACGCTTTCATCAGCTAAATTAGAAGGCATTCCCATTATGTATACAAGATTTCTCTGCACCACACGGACACTACTAAGATGCTTCCTATCCTCTATGGCTGATGAAGATTTATTCTTTGCCTTTTGGGGCTTCTGCTTTTTCTCTGCACTTATTTCAGCCACCATCCTATTCACATATGCAAATTTTAACAATGAATACGATGGTTAGTTTTGCACAAGGACAAAGCAAACCACAGACCTTTTACAGTTGGCAGACATTCCAACAATTCTTTGCTTATCATATGTTGTGCGACATGCTGGACATCGCCCATCTGATCCTTCTTTTTCAGCCATTTCCATTATATGATGCCAACACCATACACATATCTATTAAAGAAAACATGGATAAATTGGTTAGACACTTCTGATCACAGTGACATACGCATGCATCCATAGACATCAAACTATACTTTGTATTAACAGGAAAAGTAGTCAGCATAGATATGTTAATAAAGAAATGATGGATCAGGCTAAAGTCCTCCTCCGAAGATTAGAAATAATTTTTTTCTGACAATATATAAAGCACACTACTACACAATGTTACATTAAACGCTGGGCGCTCCTGGGCGCCGGACTTGGCGCCCAGCGCTTAGACGCCTAGGCGGGCGCCTAAGCGGTTTCTGGGCGGTTTTTTTCTTCTGGGCGGTTTTTCTTTTTTTAATTGTGATACTTGAAGATAAATATATATACTCAATCAACAATGCATAAATACAAAAATACCAACACAACACATATGCTATCCAAAGTATAATAGTCAATCAAAGATGCATACATACTAAATGACAAGGCATATAATATCCAATAACTAGAAGTTTATGTCCCAAAATATCCAATAACTACAATGACCATTAACTGTACTTTCATTCGTTATTGCTCCAACTGCAAAAATTGCAACTAATTATTGTTCTATTTTGTAGGTCAAAAACTGCAACTTCATTCATTATTGTTGCAAATCCAAATGTAGGGAGCATGAATATTATAGTTTCAGCACTCAACTCAATACAGATACACAATTATTGCATGTACAGTTGTAAGCTTTGAGCAAATGCAGAGAATGAATATGACAAAGATAAATGTAAGGAGCATAAGCCTGTTGTGGACCGTGGTGATGCATATTCTGTTGTACACTCGGATACTTTTTCATTTGAAATAGGAAAATTAAACTTAAACAATTGAACAAATAAACTTAACAATTAAACTAAATATGGTATAAATATATTAAGTTAACATGTAATAAATTATAAATGCATATGACAGTCATAGGCGGCTAGGAACAGTTAATTTCCTTAAGCTTGAAACAACAAATCTCAACTTCACTAGCCTGCTAAACTGAACAACATATAATAAAAAATCCTCACAAGTAATAAGAATCTACCAAACATGAAACATCAGCGGATTAAACACAGATTTTACCTTTCCAATCAACACAGATTTCTCTTAAACACATATTTCAAATGATCAGCAGATTAAACCCACAAGTAAGCAACCCAATAAAAATTATCAACCAAATCTGCTTAAGAGCACAGGCGAACGGAAAGTCCAACACGAGTTTGAAGTCGTGTTTTACTAAATGATCAGCGGATTAAACCAAAACCCAAGTTTGAAGTCGTGTTTTATTTACAGGCTGAAGATGAGAACGAAAGTCCAGCTCGAGGATGAGAACGACCGCTCGAAGATGAGCTCGAAGTTGGAGATGAGAACGATGAGCTCGAAGATGAGCTCAAAGTTGAAGACGAGCTCGAAATTCCAGCACGAGGTTGAAGACGAGCTCGAAAGTCCAGCACGAGGTCGAAGACGAAGCTCCAGCACGAGGTTGAAGACGAAGCTACAGCTCGAAAGTCCAGCTCGAAAGTCCAGCTCGAGGTCGAAATTCCAGCACGAGGTTGAAGATGAGCTCGAAACTCCAGCACGAGATCGAAGGCGATTTTTTCTTTTTGCTGGCGGCGTCGGTGAATCTGTAAAAGAGATTTAGGGCTTGTTTCGGTTTTGGGTTTTGGGTTTTGGTTTTGGGTTTTGGTTTTGGGTTCGGGTTCTTGGGAGCGCCCAGGGATTTTTTTGGGCTGGATTTTGTGAGGCGGCCCGTGTAATCGGCCCGCTTAGCCCTGGGCGGCCGCCTAGGCGCTCGCAGCGCCTAATCGCGGCCGCCCAGGGCATTTTTGCACGCTCTGGGCACCGCCTCCGCCTAGGCGGGCGCCTAGGCGGCCGCCCAGAGCGTGTTTTACAACACTGACTACATGAGCAAACAAAACATGTGTACTTCATCTATAAAGCATAGTAACCCAGAGTATGGAAGTACATTTAATTTTTTGAGGCAAAGAGGAGACATTTTGAGCTTCATGCTTCATTTCAACAATTACCTTAAACATGTCCAACTTACTCCATTCTAGATTTAAAAAAAATACAAAATAAAAAAAGTATCAAAATGATTTTTTGCTAGCTTTTACATTAAAAAAAATAGAAAGCAATCATAAGCTAGATACTAGAAAATGAAATTTTATTTCATTGCAATTTTTTTACGATGTCAAAACTTTCCCCTCGCAATTTTATACTAAAAAAGGAACAGTAAACATTTATAAGCTAGATCTAGAAACTGAAAAAAATTATATTTTCATTGCAATTTATATTAATTTTATTTATTAATCTATGTGATGTGAAACAAAATTATTTTCTTCTTTTCTAGTAAGCTTTCATATTTTGCAATTGCTACTTCTACATCATTCCAAGCTTATTTATCAGATAGACCTTTTGAAGTGTCATAAGTTGATATCGATAGAGTAAGTATTTTTTTTATTTGTAAGATTTTGAAAATTAACTAAGAACATTGCCCACAGTACTTGACTGTAATTTTTTTTGGAAGGAGTAGAAGAATAAGCTCCTTTTGTTTTAATAAATATTAGCATTTCATCAAAATATATATATTAGCAAGATTTTCCCATATTTTTTTTAAAAAGGATAAAACATTATTATTACATTTTTATATTTGCACTTTTTCCAAAATATTCAAATACTTTTAACTTTTAAATATTATAATAATCATAATGAAATAAATTTATGGCATGAAAATTTTTAATCTTAAAGGATCCACATGAAAATTGTTTATTTCATACTATGTAGATGAGGAATGAACAAGGACATGTATATCAAATAACAATTTCTTAAGGGCTTAAATTAAAAAATGTGTTAAAATTGAACTAGGAAATGAAGACCCCGCACTTTGCCATTGAGTGAACAAGTTAATCCAAACTTCTTGGTACCCATGGTTGGTTTTTTATATAATAGTATGGATTTTAAAATGAATGGGCACTGTAACTTTCAAAGAAATGTCATTTGTACCTCATATCCACATTTGCATGGCTTCAATTGTTGGTCAGTAAGGTCCATCTCTTCCGCACATAAAGGGCAGGTCCTATCTCCATCATCACTCATGGTCGTCCTTCAAAATTAATAAAAAACATAGTAAATCACAAGCAATTAGCAACCAACCCACAGTATCAAACGGGCCACAAATGTCACACATTCTTGTCCTCGCAAAACAGGGAAGAAGTAAAACAAACAGTACTAATCTCCAAGAAGTTAAGAATCAATCACTGCTAACAAAAAAATAACAGCATTCATTGAAGACATCGGATCTATTTTTTAAAATAACCTAATTTATCAGAATTGACAACTAAAACACTAAAGTCTACTTATTTACAACCTAATCATCAACATCACATGAGTATATTTTTCAGATGCCAAATCCTTCTCCATCTTTCAATACTCTAAATGAAACCCCAAAAGAACTAACTTTCCAACATCCTAATCTCTAATTCCGGATCCAAATAATAACCATGCATATATTAAATTAATGGTCAGATCTGTTATGAATCGATGACTGATGTAATACAGAGAACAAAGTTGCTGAAAGATGATGAATCTATTTTAAATAGCAGAATTCAAAGAACTGACAATTAAAACACTAAATTTGAAATCATTTACAACTTATACATTAGCCTCGTATTAATATATTTCATCAAATATAAAAGCTATCAATCCTTCCAAAGACCAGATGAAACCCTAAAAGACCTAAGTTTTTCCAACAGACTAATCTGTAATTCCTGACTCAAAAGAATTCATTTTCCCGCCGTAATAATTAAAAAGTCCATTTTCATCAACAACAAAGATAGATAGGGTCAACAGGAGGGGATTTGGGCTGAATTGGGCAATGGAAAAGAGATGAGAGAGGACTTACATCTGATAACCAACACACAATGTACAAAAGAGCCAAAAGGTGCAAACATATGTCACACATTATTGTTTTTACATAAAACAAAGCAGACATGTCAATCGTCGGGACCATGCATATCCTTAATTAATTCTTGAAAAGCTAAGAATGAATCATTGTAAAGCAAGAAAACAAAATTACTAAAAGATGCCAAGTCAAGTTTAAGTAACCCAATTCTCAGAAATAACAGCTCAAACATTAAATTCTAGCCATTCACATTTATTCATCAACCTCATCCAAGTACATTTCATTAGACACCAAATCAGTCCATATCTTTCCAAAAATAACATTAGGAACCCCAATGGACTAATCTTTCCCAACGACTTGATCTCTAATCCCTGATTCAAATTAAAAATATGTGCACATTGAACTATTAATCGATCGGCTAAAGTAAACTACTGAAAGATGTCAAATCTATCCCAGACAACCTATGTTTTATTCATTTGCAGCTCAACCATCAAAGGGTCAGATTAGTATTTTACCAAACGATAAAGTACTAGTTTTTTTAATCTCTAATTCCCGATTCAAATAAGAACCAAGATCCAATAACAAGATCCATCTCCCAGCTATAAAAACAACAAATACAACACTAAGACGTAAATATAACCTTTTTTGTGCAGAATGACTAAAAAAAGAAGAAACAAATAACTTGAACATGCAATTAACCTAATTTCTCACAACTAACAACTAAACCACTGAATTTCAGACACCAAATCTATTCAAATTCTTCCAAAAACGACCTAATTTTTTTTCCCGGCGGCCTAGTCTCCAATTCTCGATTCAAACAAGAACCATGATCCAATCACAAGATCCATTAATCCACAACAAAATCAACGATAACCGGTCAAAAATCGAGAACAAGGCCAGATCCGATCACCGAGAGGATAATTGAGCTAGATGAACCAATCATATACATAAGCAATCGATCGAAGAGAGATGAGAGAGGACTTACATTGGCGAATCGATCGATTCGAGTTCGAGAAAGCGCTGAGGATCCAGAGAAGGGATTGAAGAGGGAATGAAAATTTGGGGACGAGAACGAAAACCAAACCCTTTTCTTTTTTTTCTTCTTTTTTTTTTAACTTTTTTGGCTATGGATTGTTTTGGTTGCTGTGGGCGCTTCAGGAGTCGCGGTCAATTAAATAATCGCACAGTTGGATACAGCCCTCCTTAGTTGAATTACAGTTTTAGCCTTTTTGTGTAAAGGCCCAGCCCATGATTGGCCCAAATTCTGGATTTTGGTTTGTTATAGTTGTAGTTAATGTTTCAATTATTCTTTGACTATAGTTATATTCAGTTATGAACAGAATATTCATACATATCATTTTTAACGAATATTATATTTCTTCTGCAATAACTAAAAAGAAGGCTAAATATCATAGAACCCCCTTTAGCTTTGGATGATTACCAAATAACCCCATAACTTTGGAAACACCATAAAACTCTCCTTCAACTTTGGGAATTACCAAAAAAACACTTTACCTTTGAGATATTTTCAAAAATAACCTTCTTAAAGCGACACTTTTTAGGGTTTTCTGTAAATTTCAAAGTTAAAGGGGATTCTCTGATAATCCATGTACTTCACTTTTAAGTCACAAGTTAGTTTTTAATTTTGCAGTGATTATTAGTTGTCAAATGCCAATTATCTTAAAGATTAGAGACATAATCTTTAATGGAGGTTATGTCCCAAACACCCCAAAAGGTATACATAAACTATCCAAAGATAATTTATGTATAAATTGACAATCAAAGACGGTTTCTGTATAAGGATTTTATTTTAAAGGTTGTTCCAGGGGGAAAAAATAAAAAAACATATATTTATAGTGAAGGTTTAATTACAAACATACCCTAAGGTGTAACCCAGTTGCAAAGAAACTTAATGTAATTCTATTTATTGCAAATAGACCCCTTATAGTTATACTTGTTACAAATAGCCCCCCAGTGATATTGGCCCAACCCTTAATGGACTCTTTTCCCTCTTTTAAAAGTTAAAAAAGAGCAAATTGAGTACGTGTGCTTACCAATAAAACTATAAGGAGACTATCCGCCTCCTCAAATACTTGTAACAATTTAGAGAGTAAAAAAATTCACTCTGGGTCTTTTCGCGACACGTAGAACTACAAATGTGTCTATTCGAAATAAATGGAACTACATGAGGCCTTTTTACTACAACAAATGTTTGCAATTAACCCTATAATGAATTACTACTAACTCCATCCTCAAGGTGGTGATCCACAATAATCAATTTTCTGCGGGGCCAGCCTCAAAACCGTACCTTCCCCCTTTAACACGCCCCGCCACTTTTTTTTAACTTTTTTTCTCAAGAGCGGGAAAAGAGAGGAAAAAACCTCCCTCGAGGGAAAAAAATAATAATAAAATGTCGAACAAATTAATTAGTGAAATGAATCTACCTCAATCGATCGCCAACATCTTCGCTGCTCGCAACATTTTAACCGCCAAGGTAATTATAATCAAATTCAAACCAAATCCTTTGCATTTTAGGTTTCCCCAAATCTTAGGGCTTTTTTTTGGTCGAACTTTTAGGACGCCCTCTCTCTGCCAGAGATCGATCTGATGTCTCTACTCGATGTCGGTCTTAAGGAAGTGAATCTAGCCATTGCAAGGATCAGCGAGGTCGCTTGCCCTCCGTATCAAACTGTGAGACATTTCGTTTTGTGTTGAAACCCTAGTTTGTTGTTTTTTGGTATGTATATTCTTGATTGATGCAATCAGATTTTTTTCTCTCCCTTTTTGGGGAAATGTATAGGCGTTTAGTCTGATGGAGGATCGAGTAAGGAAAGAGGCATTTGGTGGCCATTTGTCGACGAGCTTGGTGGGTCTTGATAATGTTTTGTGTGGTGGGATCCCATTCGGGGTTCTTACGGAGTTAGTTGGGCCTTCGGGAATTGGTAAAACACAGGTAAGCTTTCAAAGTATTTATTTTTGGTTACTTTTGTGCATATATTTGTCGTAAAATTTTAGAAATGGGATTTTTATTAAGTGTACCTTCCTCTTCTACTGCACCAAAGCTCCGAAATTGTGTTGAGGATTGAGGGTGTAATAACATTAAACTCTAACATGCCCATTCCAGGCTGAGTTCCCCTTTTACGGGCAGAAACGTGGAGCCACAAAACACAATCTTTTTTAATATGCATTTAGGCTAGTATAATTTAAAAATGAGTTGCTCTTAGACCATATTAAAGGTCCTTCTGTAGCATCAAAACACCGGAGTTTCTGTGCAATATTGTTATCATAACTTCAGAGTTTTTGGGATAGGGAAGTGACATCAACGGTTTTATCTTTGGGCTCGAACTCATAGGTAGGGGCGTGCAAACAGTTGGTTTCGACTATTTTTTGGCAAACCAAACCCAACCGAATTAGATTCAAAACCAGACCAAACAAAATCAAGTCGTTTTGGTGCGATTTGTTTGGTTTAGCCATAGACATGTCATGTTAGGAAATTTTTCGCTATAAGACAACACTTACTCTTTCAAACCTCTCGGTCAGCTCATATTCCAAGTTGAAGAGCAATCTCGTCGAAACAACTACTTTACAAACTAAAATCACACTTTAATTATCTAAGATATATAAGAATATTAGTCTAGACTATCTTTTTACCTACAAAGATAGTTGAGTTTTTAGACAATTATGTAGAGATTGGTCGATCTGGTTATTTTGGTTTCAAAATTTTCAAAACTGAACTGATCCGAAGTTATTAGCTAACCGAACGGCCGAAATGGTTTGGTCGGTTTATTGCACTGAATAGCGCTCACCTGTACAGCTGTACTCATAGGTTTCATTGTTTGGTATTGTTGGAGGGCTAAGGTTTTGATCAAAATTTAAAGGGTGCTTCTTGAGATTGTTATGGTTCTTTACCATGTTTGCAAAACCGTGGTCTAGATTAGTTGTTAAAATTCTTAGTTTGCAGATGTTTCTGCTAAAGTCAGAATAGTGATAGCAACAATTTTAAGTTATATGGTTAACTAACAAATATAACTTCAAAGACAATGTTGAGCCTAGTATGACACCTTCGAATTAGATTTAGTAGTGAATATTATAAACGGGAGACTCGATGTATCTTATCATTTGAAGCGGATGCTATAGAAGATGAACACAATTGGTGTAGCCAAAGGTAACCAAGTTTTTGGCACATACTTCGTTATTGGATGTGGCATTAACTCATTGTCAGTGTTACCTAATTTTCTCTGGACCCTCTAAGCTGCAATCCAGTTCGTGTTACAGATTCATGATGCATTCATGGTCTGGATCATCAATCAATGACCCAAAAATAAATTAAGAGAACTGCTGAGTGATAGAACTCATTTATAATGTATTTACCTTTATTATTTAGCATTTCCTTCGTAGACTTGTTTTACGGCTTTTGAGACCATATGACTTGAGAATTTGAAGTTCAAACCTTTACTGTCGATGCAATTAGAACAGAAGTCATGTATTTTTAAGTAAATTAGCTTGCTTTGTATTGTGTCTTTTGAAATTATAATAACATAATATTTAATTCTATATATCTTCAAATATATGTATATGTATATGTGTGTCTCTCTCTCTCTCTCTATATGTATATATATATATGTTCACACAAGACTGCAGTTCAAGGTGAAACCAAGGATGTCAAACCTGCCATGCATCTACACTGTGCAATAACATGTTTCACCATCTTAACAATATCTCTTTAGTAGAATCAAACAATAAATGTATGTACAAAACAGGCAATGAAAGTAATAATGAAATGAACATGATTAACTGAAGAGATATCCAATAATATAATCATGTCCCAAATAAAACAAAATAAAATACAACTGATACTGGAATAAATATAAAATGTCTCGATACACAGAGTCAACTGAAAAGTACATAAGCTCTCTCAGCTCTCAAAATGAAATGCAAATCTAATAATCAACTAAAAACAAAACTAAACATCTGTGAAGCAGAAACTAGTAAAAATAACTGACGACAACTATGCTGAAAGTCTGTTAACCTGCGGCTCTCCGAAGCTCTGCTCCGCTGTCTGAAAAAAAAAGTAAAATCAACAACGTAAGAGCGCTAGCAAGATCATCTTTATCCGTCCCCAGGGGGAGGGTTACTAAGTATGATGGAGGCTCTACTTATAAGTGCATAGTCTACCTAGATCATTTTATCCTGTACTATATGGAATTTATGTTTAGAAAATTACAACACAAGATTGGTATGTCGAGCGAAATAATCCAAACAAGAAAACCCTCCTGTATATATCATGTGTCTCAAGTCGTAAATTTCTAAATATAAATTCCAACTAAGAAATAATAAGAGAAAGCAAATACAGGAATATCACATCAACCATCTCTAAAAAATATCATTCAACTCCTCATACTTTCCTTAATAGGAAAAAAAATACTAATACACTATCCCGTGTAACTAAGTTGTGAAATACCTTCACAATAGATCACATTGAAAGGATGTCAATAATCGACTACACTTAGGTTATATATCATCAAATTTATCAAATCGTCCTTTGGAATTCAACTCATCGCATCCCCGTGCGGACCGATAAATAGATATATCAACTCATCGCACTCTCATACGGATCGATAAATAGGTATATCAATATCTGCGCATAACCATGCGGACCGATAAATAGGTTCAACAACCTCTGTGCACGCTCATGCGGACCAAAAGTACATAAATGAGTGAAGTCCATCGCGGTCTCATTGCGGTCCTAACTAACGCACCCAGAGTGTAATCCATCCGCGGTTTCATTGCAGGACCCAACTAACCCCACCTAACCGTTCGTAATTAACTAATTATAATGAACTATAATAGTCGTTATTCGTAACGATTGCAAACTATTTGTCTATTCCGAACAATGGATTTGTATGTACTAAATCTTCATACGTATACCCCCAAAATATGCGTAAATATCCACATATAACTTGCATTACACGCTCGCACAACGAACCCACGTGCAAGGAACTAAAATCACAAATTTGAACCTGATCAGTCGACCGATAGAAAGCTTTAGTCGACTGATCGGATCGCTCACAGAAACAAGGCACACACGAGCCCGTTAGTCGACTGATGACCTCCCGTCAGTCGACTGACGATAACATTAGTCGACTGATGTGACTGAAAATGTACAGATCAGAGTTTTCATGTGTTTTCCTTCAAAGCTCGGGTTTTTATTAACTTATATAAATAAAACTTGATTCAATACTCATGATTACTTAACCAGGGGTCTGTTTAAACAAGATGAAATCAATATGAACTCATGGATCTAAGGTTTAACATGCAAATTAACTAAATTCATTGAAATCAATATGAACTCATGGATCTAAGGTTTAACATGCAAATTAACTAAATTCATGTTTATTTTGACAAATTAGTGCATATATAAGGTTTAACATGCAAATTAACTAAATTCATGTTTATTTTGACAAATTAGTGCATATAAACCAAAATTTAACTGTAATTAACATATTAAGATTAACTCTAATGATCATGATCATATAAACACGAACATTTCTGACTTACTCTACTGTTCTATGCATGGATTTAAGATATCACATCACAAATTAGGTTCTAACACATTAGATTAACCCTAAATATGAAAATATCACGTAAAACTTTATTTTTAAACTAAGGAAAATGTTTGGATAGAGGTGATCTTGCCTTATCATATGTACAACCCTCTGAAACAATCAGGAAATGACCCCCCGTCGCCAAAAGCCGCAAATCTCGTCTTTTCCTCGCTTCTCGCCTCACAAGACTCCCAAAATTCTCAAAATATGAATAGGGTTTGAGAGAGAGAAAGAGGGGCTACTAGGGTTTGGAATACTGATGAAAAGATGTATTTTTCGTGTTTAAACATGTATATATATAACTACAAACCCGAATCAAAATATCCCAAACCCGAAACAGGAAACTCAGTCAGACTAAGAAAGTAGTCTTCGGTATTTTAGCTGTAACTTTTTTGTCCGACCTCGGAATGAGGTGATTTAAGATACGTTGGAAAGCTATTGAAGAGACCTACAACTTTTGTTTTTTGAGTTTTTCCAAATTCAAACTGCATCGGTGTAATGCATATATACTCTTAACTGGTTATTTTCCAAATTCGAATTGCATCGGTGTATAATGTATATATACTCTTAAGTCTTAATTGATCTCAAATCAATTGTGAACATAATCATTCATCCATAAATGATATTTATCATAATTAGAACTCATTTATTAATATATAAATCACACTATTCTTTCAAAATTCACAGGGTTTTACATATATACATGTACATATATACACACATATATATATATGAAATAAATGGGTATGCTTCGTACGAAGCACAAGTTTTTTTGTGCTTGGTAGTGAGGTGACATATTCTCCTCCATTCATTGAAATCGGGGTCCACATCCACATGAGTTGAGGTTGAAAATTGAAATGAGTGGATGAGAATAAGACACCTTACTACCAAGCATATCCATTTTTCTCTCTTTATATACATACATACATACATATACATACATATGTATATGTGTGTGTGTATATATATATACATATATACATACATACATACATACATATAGAGGTGAACTTATGTCAACTTAAGTGGACAAGAGTTCTTTGTCCACCAAACTTTCTATCCACTCATATATATATAAAAAGTCTCTTCATATCTTGCATGGATCCCTAGGTATCATTAATGGATAGAAAGTTAAATGGATGGTCCACTTAAGTTGACATAATAATTTCTCTATATATATATGTATATATATACATATATGTATATATATACATATGTATATATATAGAGAAAAATGGGTATACTTGGTACCAAACATAAAAAGTTATGCTTAGTAGTGAGGTGGCATAATCTCCTCCACTCATTCAAATGGTTGTATATCCCCCTACACTCATTAACCCATGTGAAT